TCGATTTAGATCTGCTGACAAGTCACTGGTTGGCACTATTATGGCTGAATTGACAACAATGAAATATGATGGCAACCGAGGAGTTCAGGATCACATCCTCAATATGGCTGACAAAGCTGCAAAACTTAAAAAATTAGGGATGCAAGTTGATGAAACTTTCCTCGTGCAATTTATTCTCAACTCACTTCCATCACAGTTCGGCGCATTCAAAATCCACTATAACACTAATAAAGATAAGTGGAGTTTGAATGAGCTAACTAATATGTGTGTTCAAGAGGAAGTGAGGTTGAGGGAGGAAGGACGTCAAACTGCATTGGCTGTAACTCATGGAGCTATAAAGAAAAAGAAGGGTAAGTTTGTAAAATCAAAGAAAAATCCACCAAAGAAAAAGAATGGACCTGGGGAATAAAATCAGGCTCAGAATGGTTTCACTGTCAAGTGCTACTTTTGTGGCAAGAAGGGACATGTGAAGAAAGACTGCAGCAAATGAAAGGCTTGGTTCGAAAAGAAAGGTAAGAAATTTTCTTTTGTTTGTTATGAATCAAATCTTGCTGAAGTACCTTCTAATACTTGGTGGATTGACTCTGGGGCCATGACCCACATTACAAATGACATGCAGGGATACCTCTCAACTAGGAAACCGAAGGAAAGTGAAAGATTTGTCTATTTGGGGAATCGTCTCAAAGCTAAAGTAGTAGTTGTAGGAACCTACCGACTGATCTTAGAGACGGGTCATCAGATGGATCTAGAAGATACTTTTATGTTCCTTCAATTTCTAAGAATTTAGTTTCGTTATCCAAATTAGATCGTGTTGGATATTCAGTTTTATTTAGTTGTGGAAAACTCAATTTAATGTTTAATTCAATAACGATTGGTTTTAGTAATTTATGTGATGGTTTATATAAAATTACCTTAAATCATGAGTTTGCACAATCATTAGTAACTCTGCATTCGAATATTGGTTTAAAATGTGGTCTAATTAATGAAAAATCGTCAATCTTGTAGCATAGACAGTTGGGGCATATCTATAGAAATAGAATTGAAAAATTGGTGAAGAATGGGATTTTGGAAAACCTAGACTTCACTGATTTTCAGATATGTGTGGATTGCATTAAAGGAAAGCAAACCAAACACACCAAGAAAGGTTCCACAAGAAGTAATGAGCTTCTTGAGATAATTCATATCAATATTTGCGGGCCACTCAACATCCCATGTCTTAGTGGTGAAAAATATTTTATCACATTTATGGATGACTTCTCACGTTATGGATATGTGTATCTAATTCAGGAAAAGTTTTAAGCTGTTGACATCCTTGAGGTGTACATAATTGAAGTCGAGAGACAATTAGATAGAAAGGTTAAAATAGTGAGATTAGACAGGGGTGGTGAGTATTATGGTAAATATGATGAGCCAGGCCAAAATCCTGGCCCATTTGCCAAATTCTTAGAAAAAAAAGGCATTCGTGCTCAATATACAATGCCTGGCACGCTACAGCAAAATGGAGTTGCTGAAAGGCGTAATCGTGCACTTAAAGATATGGTTTGGAGTATGTTAAGTTACTCAATTGTACCTATTTTACTGTGGGGTGAAGCTTTAAAGACTGCAATGTATATCTTAAATAGGGTTCCTAGTAAGGTGGTCCCAACAACTCCTTTTGAGTTGTGGATTGGTAGGAAACCTAATTTGAGACACTTATATATTTGGGGTTGTCCAGTAGAGGCAATAATCTTCAACCCACAAAAGAAAAAGTTGGACTCAAGAATAATATCTGGGTATTTCATTGGTTATCCAGACAAGTCTAAAGGGTACAAATTCTATTGTCCTAATCACAGTACGAGGATAGTAGAGATTGGTAATGCTAGATTTCTGGAGAATGGTGAAATTAGTGGGAGTGAGAGAACATGAGTGGTGAATTTCGAGAAAATTAGGGTGGGTGTCCCAACATTTGACCCTTATCGAAAAATTGTTGTACCTCAGACTATTCCACAGGCTGAAGGAAACGAACAACATAATGAAAATCCTTCACCACCTCATGTTTCACCACTTCATGAAGATACCACCATTGAAAATATTGTAGAACCACCACAATCGGCAGTTCTGAAAAGATCTCAAAGGGAAAGAAAGCCTGCCATTCCAGATGATTACATGGTGTATCTATAGGAATTTGATTTGATATTGGGATTAACAAGATCCAGTCTCATTTTCACAAGCCATGAATAGTGATGATTCTTTTAAATGGGTCAATGCTATAAATGAAGAGTTAAAATCCATGGAACAAAATAGTGTTTGGGATCTCGTCGAATTGCCTAATAACTGCAAAAAAGTCGGGTGTAAATGGGTCTTCAAGACCAAGCATGACGCAAAAGGCAATATCGAACGATTTAAAGCCAGACTTGTTGCCAAGGGTTTTACTAAAAAAGAAGGCATAGACTATACAGAGACCTTCTCTCCAATATCTAAGAAGGACTCGCTTAGAATCATCTTAGCATTAGTAGCTCATTAGGACTTAGAGTTGCATCAAATGGATGTGAAAACAGCTTTTCTAAATGGGAATTTGGATGAAGAAATTTATATAGAGCAACTAGAAGGATTTGCAAAGAAAGGTAAAGAACATTTAGCTTGCAAATTAAAGAAATCCATATATGGCCTTAAACAAGCTTCCAGGCAATGGTATTTAAGGTTTAATGATACCATTACCTCCTTCGGATTTAAGGAAAATGCAGTTGATTAGTGCATATATCTGAAAGTTAGTGGGAGTAAGTTCATTATTTTGGTGCTATATGTAGATGACATTTTGTTAGCTAGTAATGACCTTGGCTTATTGCATGAAACCAAGGAATATCTCTCCAAGAACTTTAAAATGGTCGATATGGGTGAGGCAAACTATGTTATTGGCATAGAGATTTTTAGGGATTGATCTCGAGGATTGCTAGGACTATCTTAAAAATGATATATTGATCGTGTTTTGGAGAGATTCAATATGCAGTTTTGTTCAGCCGGTGATGCACCCATCATGAAGGGTGATAAATTAAGTGAAAAACAGTGTCCAAGGAATGACTTAGAAAGAAAACAAATGAAGGACATTCCATATGCTTTGAGACTACAAATCATGCTTTATGGTTGCGAAATTTCATCTCAGGACTTGGTGTTGTTGACTCAATTGCCAGGCCGCTGAAGATATATTGTGACAATACCGCAACAGTTTTCTTCTCTAAGAATGGAAAGTACTCCAGTGGTTCCAAACACATGGAAGTAAAGTACTTAGTTGTTAGAGAAAGAGTCTAGAAACAACAAAGTGTTAATTGAAAATTTGAGCACTTTTCTTAGGATTACTGATCTAGTCATAAAGGGATTGCCACCAAAGATATACAAAGAGTATGTTATCGGGATGGATCTTTTAAGCAACCCTTGATGTGTATGGTTAATCATGAGTGCTTATTTTTATTTGACACTATTTACGCAATAATAATTTTGTTTCTAATTTTCTTGTTTCTAAAAGTGTGTGTACACATTAAATTGAATATTGATAAATAGGAAATGTCTTAATAAGACAAATTATAGGGGCCTTTCAGGCAAATAATTATATATCCCGATAATGGATTGGGTTAGTGAAGGTTATTGATGGTGTGGTGCATAGAAGGAAATATGACATAAATGTTATATAACCGCTGTGACTCACATTGGTGATCTGAAGTAATCATAGTATTATAGTTTCTAATATATCTAAACTTATTGGCTATTTTTAAAATTCGTGATCACGTGTCAAAGTTTTTAGTGTGGAATCCAATGAGTCAAAATTTTTTATAAGTTGCATATTTTTGGAAAAACTCATAATTGCATTATAATCGGCTTAATGGGCCAAGTGGGAGAATGTTGGATTTATTTTCTAGTGTGGCCCAATAGCCTACATATATCTACATGTTTTAATTTATTTGGACTTCACAATTAGATAAAGCCAATATTATATGTAAAGTTCAGTAATTAGAATTTTAATATAATCACTCTTCTAAGATAAGAAGGAAACCTTGATGGATTCAGAATTCTTCTGATAGAGTTTATCTGGCCCTCTTCTCTCCTCTATATAAGGATGGGTGACTCTCCTTTCATATCATAAGTATTTTCCATCACTCTAAGTTTTATAGTCATCCTAATTGAGAGAGATAGAGAGAAGAAGGTGAGCCAAGAATTCAAGGTTCAACTATTAGGGGTATTTTCTTAACTTCTCTAATTCAATGGCTGACAAAGGTATGTTCATTTTATTCTTGAGTTGTATTGAATTCAAGATCCTGTGAATGTTTAATTCTGCATTATTATTATGGTTACATGTATTATTAAATCTTACAGTACTTGCCTCAACTATAGGTGCTTTTATGCTAATACCATGTTTCGTTAGAACCAGATATAGCTAATTGTTTAGCAGCTTTATCTTATCTTGTATCTTGAGAAGGTTGATTGAACCAAATCATTCCTAGTTATAATGACTTGTGACAGCAAAATGAGAAGGGATGAAAGCCTTAGGTGGTAGTTTGGACACTAAAGTCTAACAAGATCTTATTGTTTTCCATAGCATAGTAAGGTGTAGTTCTGATTAACTAAGTAAAAGAGGAAAAATATTAGAAATGTTAGTAAACAAAAGAGAGTTAAATCAGGATCCTTTCTTGGTTCTAATGATCAACTACATATTACAAAATAAATAATTTTTAAAATTGATTTCTTTCATGTGTAAAAACACATTTTCAAAGTTGCACTAGATATTAGAACCAATTTCTTTGTAGTGATTGTGGTGAATTTGTTGCTCAGTTTTGCTGTTAACCTGAATAAAAGTGATGAAATGTTATTGAGCATGTGTCCGTTGAAAATGTGATTAATAGATATTTTAAGTATAATAGACTTTTGTGGGTTTTTTTATACTCCTATGGGTACTTTCTCTCAGATTACAGAGAATGGGTATTCATGGACAAAGTGGCAACGATCGCCTGAGGACTATTTGGACACCAGAAATGGATTGTTATTTCATTGACCTCATGCTAGAGGAGGTTGGCAAGGGGAACCAGATTGATGATCACTTATTCAACAAACAGGCATGGATGCACATGACATCATTGATCAATGCAAAATTCAAATTTCAATATGAAAAAGATGTTTTGAAGAATCGTCACAAGACACTGAGAAATCTCTACAAGGCTGTAAAAAATCTTATTGACCAGAAAGGGTTCAACTGGGATGAAACACGACAAATGGTGACTGCTGATAATAAAGTTTGGGATGATTATATGAAGGTGCAGTTTTTAAAATTTTAGAACTCTGAAATTTTTTGTATTTATTTCTAGAGTTGAGAGGGAGATTTATAATCTGGCTTTGGGCCGTGGAGGAAGTTGGACTGGATAGGGCCGAGCACGTTTGGGCCGAGCTAATTTGGGCCTGTACCGAGTGGGTTTCACTTGGCCGTGGCTCGAGCCCCCTGTTTAGGCTGAGCTAACTGGGGCTTCCTTGGAGTTGATCTTGCTCGGTCCAGGCCCAGGCCCGAGGTCCAGGTCCCATGTTTGGACCGAGCTTACTTGGCCGAGATGACCGCCTGCCAACCCGGGTTCCATGGGTCGCACGCATAGCTCGGCGGGAAATGTCTTCTGTGCACCGGCCAACCTGTCTTGAGCTCGGCTCTGCCGGAATGCTACTGAGCTCAGCCGTTATGGGGCTCGGCGAGTGGAGCACTCAGGCACATTACGCAGCACGGTCGTGGAAGGCCAAGGTAATGCCTCCGGGCTGCCAAGTTCCCGCTAATGTTGTTTGACGGTTTGGTTAGGTGGTGTTCGCTGGATTTGTGCTGACAGATGGGAGAGCAGCTCCACGTGTCGAGAGACTAATGGGTGCAGAGTTGAGTGCAGAAAGTATATAAGCATGACTGCGCCCCCCATGCTGAAAAAAAAAAACATCATTTGGTGAGAGAAACCTAAACACTCAACTCTCTTCTTCTCTCTCTCTATCTCTGAGTGTGTGCTAACTTGACCGTCGGAGGGGTTTTTCGGCAACACACCACCGGGTAGCTCACCGCCATTGTGTTCTCAGGTCGATCGGGTAGATTCCGAGCTTGGACGAAAGGAGTACGGACAGCAACGAATATCTTTTCCCCGTACAATTGACGCCGTCTGTAGGAAAAGGGATAGACAAAACCTCGTCTTCCAAGCTCATCTGATCGCCTTCCATGGCAAACAACGACGAAATACCGTTGTCTGCCATCGACGGTATTACCCTGGAGTCAGTCAGACGGAGAGACGGACTCCCTGCCGTTCCAAACATGGCGGACCTGGAGACGTCCCCAGGTGGACATTCGAGAGACGCGCATGATAAGCGCGCTAGAAGTTTTGGTGACGGACACTGGCGACGAAGAGAATTGCATGCTAGACGTCTGGAGCACAAGTTAAGGGACCAAGACGCCGTCATCCAGAGAATGGCGGCGAAGATGGAAGCTCTCAAACGACATGTTAAAGGGAAGGGTGTTGCTAGAGTGGGAGACCACAGTGAGCGCACCCAACCACGCCGTTCAGGCAGTCAGAGCTAGCGGCACACTCCCTCCCTTTGTATCACCAGAAGTTACAGGGTTGGAGATTCCGACGCGCCTACAGAGAAGTCTAGCGCGCAAGATAGTACCTATCAACCCTCACGTCCGGCGACGACGTCGAGGTATTCCTACTCCGCTCACTCAGAGGACTTGTGGTTAGTCTTGAAGGAGCGGGCTCGCCGGCGAGAGACTCAAAGGGTGCTGGTGCTCCAGCGGCTATCTTACGGGGGTCACGCCAGTGAAGAGGTCATAATGCCACCACCCCGCCCAGCCGTGCTTCTCCTACTAGACACAGATTTGGCGAGGCTGAACGTCACCCCCTTCTCCCTTGAGATAGAAACCACACCGTTCCCCACGGGCTTTCACCAGCCCAAGTTTACGCTCTACGACGGAAAGATCGATCCATACATGCATGTAAGCCACTTCCGGCAGGTCATGGCCGGACATAGGCGCAATGACGCTCTCATGTGCCTTATCTTCCCGTCAAGTTTGGGCGAGCTGGGCTTGAAATGGTTTGAGAGGCTGCCAGAGGAAAGCATCAAAAGGTGGCAACAGTTGGCGGAAGCCTTTGTGACTCGTTTCAAGACTAACACTAAAACGCCAAAGGAGGTGGACCACATTCTCAGTGTCAAAATGGAGTCGAGCGACACACTCAAGGCATACAACTCCAGATACTGGGAAATCTTCAATGAGATTTTAGATTGCCTGATTAACCTGGCAATCACCCAATATAAGCGCGGTCTCCCGGTCGGACATAGGCTGTGAGACTCGCTTACCATGAACCAGCCGACATCTATGGGCCAACTAATGCAGCGTATCAATGAGCACATCCGAGTAGAGGATGATACGGTAGCGTCCATCGCGAAGACAACTCCGGTGGTAACAGACAAGAGGTTGGCTGGCAAGGTACACGCGGTCGGATAGGAGACTAACCGTCCAAATGATCACGCCGAGGAATCTGACTGTGGGTCAAATCATCAAAATCGTGGAAGGGGTCGTCGGAATGACCGAGCTGAATACCCCCGCGATGACGTAGCTGATGTTAACAGAAGGTTGAAAGCTCGGACAGGCATCACTACGGTCTTTAAGATTCCAATCTATCGCATACTTAGTGAAATCCATGACGAGGATTACGTCCGGTTTCCTGTTAAGTTAGGCGACGCGCAAAAGGGTTTTAATCCGTGGTACCGTTGCACATATCACCATGAGCGAGGACACCGGACAGAGGACTGTTTGCCTCTGAAGCAACACTTGGAGGAGTTAGTCGCAGCCGGACACCTAGATCTTTACATTGATGGGGGTGTTAAGGCCGCGCATCCTGCCCCGGCTGATCCGCATGGACCGGATGACTTGGAGGCGCCCCCTCAAGGAGTGGTTAATGTGATCCACGGCATAGTGGAGCCGGGGCGTGTATGCGAGCTCCAAGGAATGATCAAAAAGGTGGAACACATGAGGGAAGTTTTGTCAGTCTAGCCCGCGATTAAAAGGGGGAAGACCGAGGAAAAAGACGTGATTAGTTTCTCCACATGGGACCTAGAGCGTATTCAAACGCCACACAACGACGCCTTAGTGGTCACCCTTCGCGTCAAAGACTTCGATGTCAAACGCATCTTGATTGACCAGGGAAGCTCGGTTGAAATTATGTATTACGACGCGTTCAAACAACTTAAACTCCAAGATACATACTTGACTCCGGCAACTTCACCACTGGTAGGTTTCAACTCGCAACCGGAGTGGCCTTTGGGAAAAATAATTTTACCGGTCAAAGCCGGATCCGTGGTCAAGCAGGTGGAGTTCTGGGTACTGCAGGTGCCGTCTACATATAATTTGATCCTCAGTAGGGGCTGGCTTCACGCTATGCAGGCTGTAGCGTCGACCTACCACCAGGTCATGAGATTCCCTTTGGCTATGGGGAAATTGAGGGAATTTGGGGCGATTAAGTCATGTCGAAGTAATGCGTCGTGGCAGTGAATGAGAACCGAGCTGCCAAAGGCTTCGTGCAAATGATTGAAGGCCCAGAAAACCAGAGTGTCCATGATGACATGGGCACCAGGGTCGAGGACAAAGCTGTTGAAGAATTGGTAGAAATATGGATCGACACGGAAAGTCCAAACAAGTTCTTTTTTCTTGGATCAAGCCTGACCGCTCAAGAAAGGACCGAGATGGTAGAGTTCTTGATGGCAAATATCGAAGTCTTCGCATGGTCGCCCTACGACATGCCTGGCATCGATCCTAGTTTTATTTGCCACCAACTCAATGTTTTCCCTGGTGCACGACCAGTCATTCAGAGAACAAGGAGATCAGCTCTTCATCACGCCGAGGTAGTTGCGGAGGAGGTAAGGAACTTGCTTGAAGCACAGGCTATTCAGGAAGTGCACTACCCTCGGTGGATTTCAAACACAGTCGTAGTACCCAAGAAGAATGGGAAGTGGCTGGTGTGTGTTGACTACAAGACCGTTAACCAAGCTTGCCCTAAGGACAGCTTTCCTCTGCCTAGAATAGACCAGTTGGTGGACCTAACGGCCGGACATAACAGGCTCAGTTTCTTGGATGCTTACCGCGGTTATCATCAGATTGCCATGCGTGGCCCTGACCACGAGATAACCTCTTTCACTAACCCAAGGGGATTATTCTACTATCGAGTCATGCCTTTTGGTTTGAAGAACGCCGAGGCGACTTTCCAAAGGATGGTGACCAAGATGTTTGCTCCTCTGCTTGGCGGGACGATGGAGGCCTACATCGATGACATGGTGGTCAAGATCAAGCAACAGGCTGACCACTTATCCGACCTAGCCGAGATGTTCGCTATTCTTAAACAGCACAGGCTACGCCTGAATGCGTCAAAGTGTGCCTTCTGCGTGGGATCTGGGAAATTCCTGGGCTTCCTAGTCACAAACCGAGGCATCGAGGCAGACCCCACACAAATCAGAGCCGCACAAGAATTGAAGCAGCCTAACTCGGCAAAGGACGTGCAGCATCTTGCCGGTATGGCAGTCACGCTTAACAGATTCATAAGTCGGTCATCAGATTGCTGCTGCCCTTTCTTTCAAGTCTTGAAATCCAAGATTTCATGGGACGAGGAATGCGACAGGGCTTTGGCCGAGCTCAAGGCGTATTTGTCTTCTACTTCTTTGTTGGTGACACCCAAGCCCGACGAAGAACTCTACCTTTATCTGGCAGTTTCTCAACACGCCGTTAGCGCGGTACTTGTCCGGTCAAAAGGTATAAAGCATTTCCCTATCTTTTATGTGAGAAAAATCTTGCTATCGGCAGAGTCGAGGTACTTGCCACTGGAAAAACTAGCTTTGGCGTTGATGATGGCCTCCAGGAATTTGGTGCACTACTTTCATGCTCACACAATTATTGTGTTGACCGAATTTCCCCTAAAAGCCTTGTTCGAGCGAGCGAATTTCTCCGGTCGAATTCTAAAGTAGGCAGTCGAGTTGGGACAATTCGACGTTAAGTTTCAACCCCGAATAGCCATAAAAGCTCAAGCATTGGCAGATTTTGTCGCTGAGTTCTCGCCTGGGATTCACCAAGTATGTTTGGTGGATCTCACCACGGTAGCTGAGGAAGCAAACGAAGATTCAACCGCAATTGCACAGCAGGGCGATGTTGGCGACACAGAACTTGTGCGCCCCGCTATAGAACTCCATCCGGCATGATACATCAGCCCGGCGGTACGACGACGGACTTAGGCATAACAGACCAACCTGTTGGGTCCA